TATTTGACATTTAAAAAAAAAAAAAGAAGGGGCACCTAGGTGGCTCAGTTAAGTTCTGCCTTGTCTTAGATCATGATCGCAGGGTCCTGGGATCAAGCCCCATGTTGGGCTCCCTGCTCAGCAGGGCGTCTGTTTCTCCCTCTCCCTCTGCCTCTTCCCCTGCTCATGCTGTTATCACTCTGTCTCTCTCTCTCCAACAAATCTTAAAAAAAAAAAAAAACTGCCATTCCTGAGTGTGGCATGAGAAACATCAATGAGACTATCTTTTCACTTTTGCTATTTCTACTCTTAAGAAATAAAACCTACAGCACTTTACGTTTGTAACATTTAAATAGCATAATAGAGAGGTTCCCTTAGTGAAACTTTATCTTGCATACTTAGAATCCCAATAATTATCACCATTGCTACCACTACCAGTAGTAATATCTTTCATTTGTTACTTTTTCCCATTTATTTCTTAAAATTTCTTGTAGTTCTTTATTAACTTCTCCTTTCTTTTGGGCCTTTCTAGTGACTTTTGTCACCTATATGAGAACTAAAAGTTGGTTTGTACACATTAGAATCAGGCCAAATCTGAAGAACTATTTCTGTTATTCACATTTTTTTCAGTGAGGAAGTACTAAGGAAGAACTGACAAGAAAAGCTAGTTACAACCATCTGTTTATCCGTTGAAACCACCACCTTCCTCTAAACCACCCCAGTTTTTTAAAGATTTAGATCCTTCCATGGCTATAAATGATCATAGGATGAGCAATGGACCTTTTACTCCTCATACTTCAGTTGCATGAGTTTTTCACACGGATATATTTTACACAGGGGCACCTGGGTAGCTCTGTTGGCTCAGCATCTGACTCTTGATCTCAGCTTGGGTCTTAATTGAGTTCAAATCTTAAATCTCAGGATCGTAAGTTCAAGCCTCACATTGGGCTCCACATTGGGTATGGAGCCTACTTACCAAAAAACCAATTATGTGAAAAGAAATATTTTATACAAAATTAAATTTAGAAGAATTAAAGTTGGCCTTTGAACAATGCAGGGTTTAGGGGTGCTGATACCTGTGCAGCCAAAATCCGCATGTAATTTCTGACTCGTCCAAAACTTCCCTAATAGTCTACTGCTGACTGGAAGCCTTAGTGATAACAGTCAGTTAATACATACTTTGTGCATGTGTTATATATTGTATTTTTTAGAATAAAGTCAGCTAAAGAAAAATATTAATTTTGAGGAAAATAAAAGTTTTATAGTACTTATTGTAAAAAATCCATGTTAACTGGACCCACATAATTCAAACCTTGATGTTCAATGTTCAACCACACTAAATTTCCAGGAAGATTATAGGAAAAGCTGAATTCTTGCAATGACCCTATTATAGGACAATTCTTTTTTTTTTTTTAAAGATTTATTTATTTGACAGACAGAGATCACAAGTAGGCAGAGAGGCAGGCAGAGAGAGGAGGAGGAAGCAGGCTCCCCGCTGAGCAGAGAGCCCGATGTGGGGCTCGATCCCAGGACCCTGAGATCATGACCTGAGCTGAAGGCAGAGGCTTTAACCCACTAAGCCACCCAGGTGCTCCTATAGGACAATTCTTATGTCAAATACAGAGTTTATGATCTATAGTCTGTCTCTAACTTCTTTGTTGGTAAAGGACCAATGACATAGTATAAGACTATACATCCTAGTTTGGCTGAAGAAACCAGTTCATAGTATCTTACAGGAACACAAATGTAAATACTTCTTTTTTAAAAAAAAATTTTACCTAGGCATCTGGGTGGCTCAGTTGGTGAGGTCTGCCTTTGACTCAGGTCATAATCTCAGGGTCTTGGGATGGAGTCCTGCATCAGGCTCTCTACTCAGTGGCTGAGTCTGCTTCTCCCTCTACCCTTACCCCATTTGTGATCTCTGTCAAATAAGTAAATAAAATCTTAAATTTTTTTTTTTTTACTTATTTTCGGGGAGGGGAGGCAGAGAAAGAGAGACAAACAGGCAGTGGAGAAGGGCAGAGGTAGAGAGGGAAGAAAGGCTCCCCAGTAAAGAGGGAGCCTGATGTGAGACTTGGGACTACGACCTGAGCTGAAGGCAGACTATTAACTGATTGAGCCACCCAGATGGCCCTAAATATTTCTGATCTTCCAACAGAAATTAAAAAAAAAAAACCAAACAACTCCCAAATGGTTCAATATTGGCTAAAATTACGGGTGAAACTAAAGGCTGAAATTTAAAAGATATACTATTGGTAGACACAAATCTTTGCTGGCATAGATACACTAACAGCAGGTAAGTTTTACTAGCCAAAAAAATAGTATGAGACATTTATTTCATTAGGGTAAAAGACAATTTGTCCAACTTACTTGTACCTAATCTAAACACATGCAAAGCAAAGACTCGTACAACCACAGAGGAAATCATGAGGTCTCTATCATAAAGGGAGATCTTAACACTAATAGAACAAGTACTAAAAATAGTAAGAGAACAAGTAAAGTAAGAAAATATGGAAGAATGAAACGCTTTTGAATAGCACACTTATGAAGATTTATCTCATTGGAAAGTATAAAGCACTGCACCCAACAAATGCAAAATAAACTGTCAAAGAGAGGCTGTGTAACTTTAAGATTAAGGTTATAAACTTGGCAGTCAAATTACCCAGGTTAGATTTCCAATTTTGTTATTTAGAGACTTGAGCAAATTTCTTTGACCCTCAGTTGTTTTGGTTTAAAATGGGCATAAGTACACTTGGACCTAGCTAGGTGAGATTTTGTAACAAACTGCAATATATAACTTAGTGTGAAATACACAGTAAGTAATTAATAAATTCTTTTTTTTTTTTTTTTTTTAAGGTAGGCTCCATGCCTAATGTGGGGCTTGAACTGATGATCCAGATGTGGAGAGTCGCATGTTCTACGGACTGTGCCAGTCAGTCACCCTAGTACTTAATAAATTGTTAACAGTTTTATCAAGCTCAAGTTTGAGTAAAATTTTTTTTTTTTTTACACACTACACTTTTAATGAGTTAAGCATAAGGCTACTCCCACTGCTTCTATTCTTAAGTTGAGAAACCCTTGTATCTTTTTCTCTTTTTTGAAAGATTTAATTTACTTTGAGAGAAAAAAAAAAAGACAAAGTATGAATGCACAGCAGGGGAAGAGGTAGAGCCAAGAGGAAGAGAATCCCTAGCAGACTCCGTGCTCAGCACAGAGCCTGATGTGGTGCTCAGTCCCCACCCTGAGATCATGACCTGAACTGAAACAAAAGTCAGATGTTTAACGGACTATGTCACCCAGGCACCCCACAAATGTATTTAAGAACAAAAACATTGTTTTGTCACACCCAGAAAATGCATTCAAACAATTTCACGTTATGATTCCAGTAGCTTCACAAAGGCAATGGAGTACTTCAAATTTCATATCAAGAATCTTTATAGGGGGGCGCCTGGGTGGCTCAGTGGGTTAAAGCCTCTGCCTTCGGCTCGGGTCGTGATCCCAGGGTCCTGGGATGGAGACCCACATCGGGCTCTCTGCTCAGCAGGGAGCCTGCTTCCTCCTCTCTCTCTGCCTGCCTCTCTGCCTACTTGTGATCTCTGTCTATCAAATAAATAAATTAAAAAAAAAAAAAAAGAATCTTTATAGGGAGGGGGAGACAAACCATGAGAAAATGTGGACTCTGAGAAACAAACTGAGGGTTTTGGAGGGAAGGGGAGTGGGGGGTTGAGTAAGCCTGGTGGTGGGTATTAAGGAGGGCACGTATTGCATGGTGCACTGGGTATAGTGCATAAACAATGAATTTTGTAACACACACACACACACACACATTAAATTAAATTAAAAAAAAAAAGGAATCTTTATAGGGATACTGTTGATTTCAGAGTTGTGGGATTGAGCCCCCAGTTGAACTCTGGATTCAGTGGGGAGCCTGCTTCACTCTCTCTAACTAAAATAGATGAATCTTTAAATTAAATATAAATAAATTTATAAGTAAATCCCCAACAGCCTAATGTTAATGTTTAGTGCTTTTTGTTTTTTTATAGTAAAACAAATAGTGCAAAAGATTTGAGTTTCTGTACTATCACAGGGTACCAGATTTTAAACACTGTTATATACTGGAGAGTTAATGAGTGGATTTAGATTTATAATTATTCAAAATACGGAACCTAAAAAACAGGAAAATATAATTTACTCCCCTTGGCAAATTGCTTTAGAATATCAGCATATTCTGTAAGCTCTGGTTTTTTTTCAATATGGATTAAAATGGTATTTTGGCAATTTTGGCAACTTAATAACTTCAAGTATTTTAAGAAAAGTGGCAAAAATACTTGTTATTTGATAGCAGAAAAAAATTACTAGTATTAGATTGTGTTTAAATTATATCAAATGAACAGTTTAGAAAACTATGTTCTTTATCTAGAATTATTTGGTAAAATCATATTTTCCAGAAAGAAAATACTGTTTTGAGTAAAAGTTTTTCAGGAAAAACCAAAGAGAAATCAGTATAGAAATAAAAGGGCTGGGGCACCTGGGTGACTCAGTTGGTTGAGTGACTGCCTTCAGCTCAGGTCATGATCCTGGAGTCCTGGGACTGAGTCCCGCCTTAGGCTCCCTGCTCGGCAGGGAGTCTGCTTCTTCCTCTGACCTCTCGCCCTTCTCATGCTCTCTCTCTCTCTCAAATAAATAAATAAAATCTTTAAAAAAAAAAGAAAAAGAAGTAAAAGGGCTAAGGATAACTGCTTTTAGCTTTCTATGTTCCTATCTAGGAAAAGAATAATAAGAAGAAAAGGTTGTCCATGTAAATGAGCACTCATACTCTAAATGACAATTTAATTTAAGCCTACCAATTTCATACTAAATTTTAAAGACAAGGCTGCATAAAATATGGGGTAGAAAGTGAGCTGATTTTTTAAGAAGACTTTGTGTCTTTGGGTTTTTACTGGTGTAAAACCCCTTCAAGCCTAGAGAATACGCAAAGACATATCATAAAAAGTAAGAAGAAAAACTTCATTTTAGACAGGTTGAGTGGTACCCATACCTTAGAAAAGGCTGGTTTTAACAGCTTTTTTATTTCAAACATGAAGTGATGTATAAATTTGATAATGTTTAGCAATAATCAGCTTCTGCTAAAATGTTGGATTAAATCCAAAAATATGCCAATTTTGGCAACTACTGTAGACCCTGTTACTTAGAAGTTAAATCTTCATCACAAGAAGATGAGAACAACGTTACAGCTTCTACTAAACTAAGAACTATGAAATATATTCCCGGTATTGCTTTGAAATTACAACCCAGTTTAAGAGAAATTGTAACTTCATCTAAATGTGCTATTTAAATGATATTCTTAGTCATCTTCAACTGTTGGCTTGATGGTTACTCCTCTTCTTATTTGACCCCAACCAATTAAACTGCAAAAAGAAAAGAAATCATGAATTTTTAATCTATTTTATCAGCATCATCATAAAATCTTTACATAACTGATTTTAACTATCTTCTAAATTCAAACCTGTTTCCATAACATGTTCCTCTATAAAGAAAAATCTGTATTATCTCCTGAGATTAAGGACATAATAGATTTGGCTAACATGAATGACCAAAGAAAAGGGAAGAAGTTGTTACCATAAACATGCATACCTTTCTCTAAAAAAAACATATGTACTCATTAAATCAGTAAATAAAAGCACTTCATTTCCCTGTAAGGAAGCATGCCACTAGATAAAACACACCAAACTAATTTAAAAAAAAAAAAATCATCAGTCTTTTTCTCTTAGGAAAATACCTCTTTCACAATACCTCAAAACATTATAGTGGGAATAAGGGAAATAAATGAAGGGAAATAAAATAAGAAAAGGAAGTAGAACATATAGTTTGTAAACATTACTTTTTAAAATTTTTTTAAAGATTATTTATTTATTTGACAGAGAGAGAGACAGCAAGAGAGGGAATACAAGTGGGGGAGTGGAAAAGGGAGAAGGAGACTCCTTGTTCACCCAGGCACCCCTACTTTTTAATTTTTTTTTTTTAAAGATTTTTTTTTATTTGACAGACAGATCACAAGTAGGCAGAGCGGCAGGCAGAGAGAGAGAGGAGGAGGAGGCAGGCTCCCTGCCGAGCAGAGAGCCCGACGCGAGGCTCGATCCCAGGACCCCGGGACCACGACCCGAGTGGAAGGCAGAGGCCTCAACCACTGAGCCACCCAGGCGCCCCTACTTTTTAATTTTTTTAAAGATTTTATTTATTTGAGAGACACATCGAACAGCAAGAGAGGGAACACAAGCAGGGGGAGTGGGAGAGGGAGAAGCTGGCTTCCTGCTGAGCAAGGAGCTTGATTCGGGGCTCGGTCAAGGGAGCAGAAGGCAGATGCTTAACAGCTGAGCTACGCAGGTGCCCCTAAAGAGAGAGAGTGCACAAGGAGGGGGAGGAGCAAGCAAAGGGAGAAACAGACTTCCAGCTGAGCAGGGAGGGAGCCCAATTCGGGACTTGATCCCAGGACCTTGGGATCATGATCTGAGCTGGAGGCAGATGCTAAACTGACTGAGCTAGGGGGATCCCCAAAATAGTTTCAAAAAAGAGATAATAAAAAAAAAAAAAGATTTATTTATTTATTTTAGAGAGAAAGAGTCAGAAAGAGCAAAATGGAGAGGTAGAGAGAGAGGGTGAATCTTAAGCAGACTCTGCTGAATGTGGAACCCAACAAGGGGCTCAATCTCACAGCTCTGAGATAATGACCTGAGCTGAAATCAAGAGTAAGACACTTAACACTCTGTGCTACTTTTTTTTAAAGTATTTTTTTTTTTAAATAATCTCTATGATCAACCTCATGACCCCGAGATCAAGATCCCATGCTCTATCAACTGAACTAGCTTCTAGAACAAAACCCATCTAAATATAAATAAAAACTTTTGGAAAGCTTTATGATAAATGGTTTATCTATGGTTCCTCGTAAATTAAAAGCAGAATTATCCTATGATCCAGCAATCTACTTCAGGACATATACCTCCCAAAAAAACTGAGTGTAGGGACACAAATACATACAGATATTTATATACCATGTTCCTAAGTTCATCAAAACAGAATAGCCAAAAAAATTGAAAGCACGGGTGCCTGGCTGGGTCAGTTAGTGGAGCACACCACTTTTTTTTTTTTTTTTCTTTAAAGATTTTATTTATTTGAGAGCAAACAGAGTGAGAGGGAACACAAGCAGGGGCAGAGGGAGAGGGAGAAGCAGTCTTCCTACTGAGCAGGAAACCCGATGTGGGGCTCCATTCCAGGACCCTGGGATCATGACCAGAGCCCAAGGCAGACACTTAACGACTGAGCCACCCAGGAGCCCCAGAGCATACCACTCTGGATGAGTTCAAGCCCCAAAGGGTTATGGGTTCAAGCACCACATTAGGTATAGAGACTACTTAAAAATCTTTAAAAACCAAAACAAAAAGTGAAACCAATACAAGTGTTCATTCACGGAGGAGTTGCATTTCTGGAAACGTTTCATTCTACTAAGTGATGTGTTCCACGCTAAAGATCTCTGAAAATTTTGTATTATTTATACTTATTTATATAGTGTGGAAATAATGTTTATAACAGAGGAGATATTAAAATCAAATGAGTTTAAATCACTACAAAACAGGATCAGTTACTTAAAAGGTAGTAAGACTTGACTTTTTTTTTTTTGAGAGTGCCCACGTGAGTGAGGACTGGGGGGGTAGGGAAAGAAGAAGAGGGAGAGAGAATAGTACACAGGCTCCAGGCCCAGCACAGAATCTGATGTGGGGCTCGCTCTCATGACCCTGAGACCCTGGGTCTCAGGTTGGATGTCTAACTGACTGCACCACCCAGGCACCCCTAAAACCTAACTTTTTAAAGATTAACAGTAAGTTAGATAAATTTTCTAGATGATAAAATGATCAATGAAATCATCATAGGACAGTGGGCATCAGGGAAGAATCAATAAGGAAGACAGAAAGGTACAGAGAGTCAAAGGAGTCTCAAATAATGAGGAGGACACTGAAAATAAAGACAAGTATAACTGTAAGGGTTTACACAGAAGAAGCAGAGAAAACATCAGACTGAAGCCAGCCTGTATAAAGGCCTTGCATATTAACGAAATGTGAAGAACTACTGGAATTTTTTGAGGATAGTATGATAAACTCTTTTGGAGAGATTATACTTGATCAGGCAATGAAGTCATTGAAAAGGGAAAAATACAGTGTGAAATAATGACAGTATGAGCTACAATGATGCTATTCAGAATGGAAAGGATAGACTCAGGACATAATCTGGGAAGAAGCAAAAGAACAACCAGCAGGTGTCACAGGTTTATGGACTTAGAAACCTGGGAGCAATGGGCACATCAAGACATTTGTTTCTAAACACAAAACATGCTTGAGTCCAGGAATAGTGCAGGTAGAGAAAGAGACGAGGCCGGATGATTTACACCAGAAAGTAAGAAAATGCTCTGGAGTCACGTCAAAAGAACCTAGGAATAAATTTGAAGAGAATCCTATTGGCCAATGTGGTGATGACCATCAAAATAAAAACAAACAGAAGTAAAGGATCACAACTCATTGAATAAACACCTTTGAGCCCACACTGTAATATATACCTAAATAAATAAACAGGAAAGAGGGATGCCAAACGATACATGTGGAAAGTGGCACAGATACAGAAAAAAAAACGTTATTTTCCTATTCCCAGAGATAAGATTAATCCAGGTGAGAATAATTAAAAGGGAGCACCTGGTTGGCTCAGTTGGTAGAGTATGAGACTCTTTTTTAAAAAGAATTTATTTATTAAAATATATTCAAGAGAGAGACAAGAGAGCATGAGTGTGGGTGGGAGGGACACAGGCATACAGAGAAGCAGACTTCCCGCTGAGCCCATTGTGGGACTCAACCCCAGGACCTTGGGATCATGACCTGAGCTGAAGACAGACACTTAACTGACTGAGCCACCCAGGTGCCCAGAGCAAGAGGCTCTTGATCTTCGGGTTGTGAGCTAAAGCCCCAGGCTGGATGGACATGGAGATAACTTTTTAATTAAAAAAAAAAAAAAAAAAAAAAAAAAAAGAGTAATGAAGGGGTTAAATCTGATGAGAAATAGGGTATTTGCAGAGTCTCAAAAGTTCTCCATATATGGCTTATTAGCTGCAACCATGAAAAGAGAAACTTTGTAAAAGACACCTTGATGACATGAACAAAATTAACATCACACTGTAGGTAATGTCCTGTGTGCTTCTGAAATGTGATTTCCCTCCCCCTTTTTAAAGATTTTATTTATTTACTTGAGACAGATCAAGACACAGAGAGTGTGTACAGGGAGAAGGAGAAGGAGATTCCCTGGTGAGATGGAAGACCAATGTGGGGCTCAATGTGGGTCTCGATCACAGGACCCTGGGATCATGACCTGAGCTGAAGGCACACACTTAAAGCAAGTGAACCACGCAGTTTCCTGATACGTGATTCTTAAGGATACAATAGTACCTTTAGAGCATTCTGGTCTTGAATATATAACCTCAATTTTAATAAGGGAAACTGGCTTTTACTGTTTAAAAATGTCAATTCATGCGAAGATAAAGAAATGCTAAGAAAGTTCCATATAAAAAAGACAATAGGGGTGTCTGGGTGGCTCAGTCCTTAAGCATCTGCCTTCATTCAGCTCAGGTCATGATCCCAGGGTCCTGAGATTGAGCCCTGCATCCGGCTCCCTGCTCACTGGGAAGCCTGCTTTCCTTCTCCTACTCCCCCTGCTTGTGTTCCTGCTATCACTCTCTCTCTCTGTCAAATAAATAAATAAAATCTTAAAAAAAATAAAAAAGACTATAGAAACAAAATGGAAATGAAATGTGTGGTTCTGCACTGAAGAAAGAAAAATGCAATAAAGAACAATATTGAGGGCGCCTGGGTGGCTCAGTTGGTTGAGCGACTGCCTTCGGCTCAGGTCACGATCCCGGACTTCCAGGATCGAGTCCCGCATCGGGCTCCCAGCTCCTTGGGAAGTCTGCTTCTCCCTCTGACCTCCTCTTTTAGGCTCTCTCTCACTCATTCTCTCTCTCTCAAAAAAAAAAAAAAAAAAAAAGAACAATATTGACATAAATGTCAAAACAGGAACTCAGAGTTCAGATTTTAGTATTTTGTCAATGCTAAAATTCCTGAAGTGGTTACACAGACACTATTCTTATTCTTAAGAAATACATACTGAAATAATAAGAGGTATAGGTTATGTAAGCTAATATAGTGATTTATCTTTTTATTTATTTTATTTTATTTTTTTTTAAAGATTTTATTTATTTATTTGACAGATAGAGGTCACAAGTAGGCAGAGAGGCAGGCAGAGAGAGAGGAGGAAGCAGGCTCCCCGCTGAGCAGAGAGCCCGATGTGGGGCTCGATCCCAGGACCCTGGAATCATGACCCGAGCCGAAGGCAGAGGCTTAACCCACTGAGCCAATCAGGTGCCCATCTTTTTATTTATTTTAAAGATTTTTATTTATTAAGAGAGAAGAGAGAATGAGCAGGGTGGGGGGATACAAAGGGAGAGGGAGAAGCAATCTTCCTGCTGAGCAAGGAGCCGGACATGGTACTTAATTCCAAGATGCTGGGATCATGACCTGAGCCAAAGGCAGATGTTTAACCAACTAAGCCACCCAGGTGTCCCTAATCAGTGGTTTAAAAAAAATCAACTAAGTTAAACATGTATAAGAATATAGTCAAAACTGATTCTGGGGGTGCCTGGGAGGCTCAGTGGATTAAAGCCTCTGCCTTCGGCTCAGGTCATGGTCCCAGGGTCCTGGGATCGAGCCCCGCATCGGGCTCTCTGCTCAGCGGGGAGCCTGCTTCCCTTCCTCTCTCTCTGCCTGTATCTCTGCCTACTTGTGATCTCTGTCAAAAAAATAAATAAAATCTTAAAAAAAAAAAAAAACTGATTCTGAAGGATTTTATACAGATGTGTCTGAGATTAAAGGAAAGCTAGTTGTAGTAACTGGAATAAAAAACTGAACTATATAGGCTTACAAGTCAGGGTTGGAAATAAAGATTTCCAATTATACAAATATGCCATGAAAACTACTGAATTCAATAAAAAGCGATGAAGCAACAAGTTGGTGAGGATCTGAAGAAAAAGGAACCCTCCTGCACTGCTGGTGGGAATGCAAGTTGGTACAGTCACTCGGGAAGACAGTATGGAATTCTTCAAAAGGTTAAACAGAGCTACCATACGACCCAGCAATTGCACCACCAGGAATTTATCGAAAGGATATAAAAATACTAATTTGAGGGATACAAGAACCCTAATATTTATAGCAGCAATATCAACAATAGCCAAACTATGGAAGCAGCCAAGGGTTCATCCACTGATGAATACATAAAGATGTAGTGTACATATATTGGAATATTATTGAGCCATAAAAAGAATGAAATCTTGCCATTTATAACAATGTGGATGGAGCTAGAGAGTACTAAGAGAAAAAAGGCAGTCAGAGAAAGACAAATACTTCATTCATATTTGGAGTTTACAAATTTTATGAAATAAAATGAATAAGCAAAAGGAAAAAGAGGGGCATCTGGGTGGCTCAGCTGGTTAAGCATCTGCCTTCAGCTTAGGTATGATCTTGGTGTCCTGGGATTGAGACTGCTTCTGCCTCTGCCTCTGTGCTCCTCTGCCCTGCTTATTCTTTCCCTCTCTTTCAAATAAATAAATAAAAACGTTGGGCTCCTGGCTCAGCAGGGAGTCTGCCTCTCCCTTCCCACTACTCAAACTCTCTCTCTAAAATAAATAAATCAAATCTTAAAAAAAAAAAGAGAGAGACAAAGCAAGAAAACCCATCCTTAACTACAGAGAACACTCTAATGGTTACAATAAGGGTGGTGGTGGGAGGAATGGGTTAAACAGATGATGTGGATTAAGGAGTGTGATGGGTAATGAGTAATGTATAGAATTGCTCAATCATCATATTGTACATCTGAAACTAATATAACACTGTTAGATACACCACAATTAAAATGTAAAAACAGAAAAAAAAAAAAAGTAAAAACAGTTTAAAATGAAAGGAAAAATATGCATAACTATGAGTACATATACCATGAAGAATGTATCACCGGAGGGCACCTGGGTGGCTCAGTCATTAAGCAACTGCCTTTGGCTTAGGTCACAGTCCCAGAGTTCCAGTCTTGAGCCCTGCATCAGGCTCTCTGCTTGGCAGGGAGCTTGCTTCTCCCTCTCCCTCTCCCCTTCCCCTTGTTTGTGTTCCGTGTCTTGCTATGTCTCTGACAAATAAATAAATAAATAAAATCTTAAAAAAGAAAAAAGAATATACCAAAAGATAATGTGCTATTTTTTTTTTTTAAAGTGTATTCACTTTATTTTAGTAATCTCTACACCCATTGTGGGACTCAAACACACAACCAAGAGTCACATGCTCTTCTGACTGAGTCAGCCACGTACTCCTGCTGTTTTCTTGACACCAATGACAGATAGAGGCAAAATTGAAAAACTCACCGCCAGTGTTTCTCAACTCTGCGGCTAAGGGCAATCTTTTCTCCCACTTCTGTGCACACAGGATTAGTGAGAACTATTTTACCCAAGTCAGCCTTGACTGCACTCACTCTTCCTCCTGTTGATAGGGACCCTATGTTTACCATAAGCACTTCATTCTTAGAAAGCTTTTGCACCTGGAAAATAAATTAAGGAAAAAAACCCCATTAACATAATAAAATGTTTTCCAATACAAAGTGAGAATTTATTAAATACCACTGCAAAAAATTAGCTATAGAGGAAAAAAGAAATTCTGCACAAATTACACTTACAAGATCTGAAGTATATATATATTACAGGTATCAAAGCAAAAGGTTTATTTAGCACTAAAAGAACATTCAAATAATCTAACACTAAAATAAGCTACTAAAAAATAATAAAATCAACCAAAATCTTAAAATCTGAAGAGGCTTGTGGCAGAGAGAGTTTGCACAATTTCTTGAAAGGGGAAGCAAGACAAGAATAATATGATAGTTAAGTGGGTCTGGAAGTTCTAATTCCATTTATGTAGATACTTAAATCTTCTGGATTCTATAGAATTGGGTAACACCTATTATATCACTCTTAGCTGTTTTATTTCTAGCATTTACACATATAATTATTGGAATTACTAGCCACTGTATTACTTACTGCTGTTGTCTGTGCTTATAACCTCATGCTCAAATTCAGATCAGTGTCTTTAAGGTCTTTGTATTTCATTAAAATTCAGACAGTACACCTTTATTAAAGGAACTTCCCCCAAAATGACAAATACAAGTTTTATTGATTGATTTATTGTTTTTTTTTTTTAGATTATTTATGTATTTGAGAGAGAGAGACAGCATGTGCATAAGTGGGGATGGGAAAATGGAGAGAGACTCTCAAGCAGATTCTGCACTGAGTGTGGAGTCTGACTAGGGCTCTATCTCACAACCTTTGTATCAGGACTTCAGCTAAAACCAAGAGTCACTCAGCAGGAAGTGTGCTTCTCTCTCTTTCTCAAATAAACACATAAATCTTAAAAAAAAAAAAGATCACCTTTGCAGCTTTCTTGTCTCCTTCAGTGCGTACCCCTAGCAGCCGTCTAAGTAGGAAATAGGAGATTTCTAGTTCTGTGAAGATCTCTGGTAAAGCTCCAACTGCACCAAGTACTTGTCCCACCATTCTGTCAGCCCGGCACAAAGTTGGGTCAATTTTTGTTCCCACTCCTGAGATAAAATAAAATATGTCACATATTTCAACTTTGTATTTCTTAAAATGTTTACAAAGGTAAAGTTAGTCAAACCAGTACAACATGTAGCTATACAACTTAACCAAATTATGTTACATTGATACCATATCACAGTCACAAAATTAAAATCATGAACAATTCCCCTACAATCAACTCTTAGCTTTACCTAAAAAAGAACAGGGTTGGAAACAAAGCTTGATTAAATTTTAAGAATAAAAAACCATTTTTATTTAAATTATAAATAAAGGAAGAACTGTTTAACAGAAAACAACCATTTAATAAGATATTTTATCTTAATAAAAATTGAAAAATTACAAAGCTGATAATGATTGATTTGCAGAAATAAAATTGGTAATTGTTAATGCTGGTTGGCAGATATAGGATTGTCATTACATTATTCTTGTATTTTTGTATATTGGTACAATAAAAGTTTACATGAACATGTTCAGAATTTCCATATTCGTAAAAAAAAAAAAAAATCCACAATGATACACTGTGAACTTTTATTATCAACATATAATAAAGTTCCGCAAAGAAAAAGTGTCAGTAAAATGATGGAGTAAAGGCCCAAGCTTTGTTTTCCATAAATAGAATGAAAAAGTGACAAAAATGTCAAAACATTTTTAAAATTCTGGAATTTAGCCAAAGGCTTGCTATAATCTAAGCAGCATTTACTAAGAAAAACATCTGTATCTCAGTAAGAGCAGAAAACTGTCACATTTTAACTTATCCTACTCCAATCACTATTCAAACCAATTTCCGTGACAGCACTATTAACAACTTGCATTTGTCATGAAAACCAGCAAGGCTATATAGAGAACAGGGCTGGAGCTCCTTTAATTTCTCATTCCCAAATGGCTATCATTTGATTAGTTTGAGACCTCCCTGGAAGATTCCACTTCCAAGACTGTCTGGAGGTCTAATGTAAAAAGTGTTTTCCTCAGGGAACTGAAAGATAATAGGTGGGGAAAACAACACATTAACAAAAAGCTTTAAAACAATAAAAACAAAAAACACATGTCCATGGGAACTTTGAAAATTTGGATATATATGTACAAATCCAGTGAATAATATATATGTTTAAGGCTGTGTACATGCTCAAGAAAGACCTGATAGTGCTTTAAGCTCTTAAGTCTACTAGTTTTAAAATGTTAGTAAGGGATGAGACAGAGTTGTTTAACTGCCTGGCTGAGAGCTAAAAGACTGCACCAACAATTTTTTTTTTCTTTTAAAGATTTTATTTATTATTTGACAGAGATCACAAGTAGGTAGAGAGCTAGGTAGAGAGAGAGGAAGGGAAGCAGGCTCCCTGCTGAAAAGAGAGCCCCGATGTGGGGCTCGATCCCAGGACCCTGGGATCATGACCTGAGCCAAAGGCAGAGGCTTTAACCCACTGAGCCACCTAGGCGCCTGCTCCCCCCTTTTCTTAAATTAACATATAATGTATTATTAGCCCCAGGGGTACAGGACCGTGAATCATCAGGCTTACATAATTCACAGCACATACCCTCCTCAATGTCCATAACTCAGCCATCTTATCCCACCCCCGCAACCTCCAGCAACCCTTCAGTTCATTTCCTGAGATTAAAAAGTCTCTCTCTCTCTTTTTTTAAGATTTTATTTATTTGACAAACAGAGATCACAAGTAGGCAGAGAGGCAGGCAGAGAGAGAGGAGGAAGCAGGCTCCCTGCTGAGCAGACAGCCTGATTCGGGACTCGATCCCAGGACCGTGAGACCAACACCTGAGCCAAAGGCAGAGGCTTTAACCCACTGAGCCACCCAGGCGCCCCAATTAAGTCTCTTATGGTTTGTCTCCCTCCCTGGTCCCATCTTGTTTCACTTCTCCCTTCCTACCCTCCTCCTCCTTCTTAGCTTGTTTAGCTTTGTTCAGTTAGTGATATGTCATTGACACACCAGAGTTCTTTAATAAAGGCTGGGAGGACTACAGGTTCTAAGGTATTAAGGAAATTTCTTCTTCTCAATCACTGGCTAAGCGCTAAACTAACTAAGCTACCTTCAGTGAGCACACATGAAAAGAAAACAGACATTATGGAATTAGTTCAGGAAAGTCAGTAAATACAGTGACAACTAACATAAGAAGTAGAAACAAACCCTTAGGAGAGGAGAGAATCTAGTCTTCAGAGAGGACACGTATCATCTAAAATGTTGCTCTCAAGAGAAAGTCATGAGACATGCAACACAAGAAGTATGGCCTTTACAAAAAACTAAAGCAATTTTAAAAACAACTTCATGGGGCACCTGGGTGGCTCAGTTGGTTAGTATCTGCCTTCAGCTCAGGACATGATCTCAGGGTCCTCAGATGGAGCCCTGCATTGGGCTCCTGGCTCAGTGGGGAGTCTGCTTGTCTCTTTCCCTTTGCCCCTCCCTCATGCTTGTGCATGCTCTCTTTAATAAAAATAAAAACAACATCATGAAGCCCTAGAAACCTTAGAGTTACTAAACAAAGACTAAACTGGCATCTTTTTAATATGTGTGAAGACTAAAGAAAAGGATATCTAATGAACAGAATGTAAGTATGAAAATGATGTCTCCCCAAGAAGACATCATCAACAATGCCATACACAGTATAAGAGAACCAAATAACATTCTGGAGTTGAAAAGGATAATAACTGAAAGGAATGATCACCAAAGAAGCTGAACAGCATACTGAAACAGGAAAAAGAATCAGCAAACTTGAAGATAGATCAACTGATATTATTCATTCTGATCAAAAATAAAAACCAAAAATGAATAGGGCACCTGGGTGGCTCAGTTGGTTGAGTGAAAAACTCCTGATTTTGGCTTAGACTTTTGATCTTAGGGTCTTGGGATCAAGCCCTGAGGCGAGCTCAATGCTCAGTGAGGAGTGTGCTCAAGATTCTCTCCCCTCTGACTATCCCTTATGCTCACCTATGTGTCCTCTCAATCTCTAAATAAATAAAATCCCAAAAGAAAGAACGAACAGGGGCGCCTGGGTGGCTCAGTGGGTTGAGCCGCTGCCTTCGGCTAAGGTCATGATCTCAGGGTCCTGGGATCGAGTCCCGCATCGGGCTCTCTGCTCGGCGGGGAGCCTGCTTCCCTCTCTCTCTCTCTCTCTGCCTGCCTCTCTGTCTGCTTGTGATCTCTCTCTGTCAAATAAATAAATAAAATCTTAAAAAAAAAAAAAAAAAAGGAAAGAACGAACAATCTCAGAGACGTACATGACATAATCAAGTATACAACCAATGCATAATGGAACTCCCAGAAAGCAGAGAAAAGAAAGTAACAAAGAATATTAAAAATAATAATAATAATAATAATAATAATAATAATAATAATAATAATGGCTTAAACATGAAGGAAACTAAAAGGCAAACTATGGAATGGGAAAAGATATTTGCAAATAATATATCTGATAAGAGGTAAGTAACCAAAATATATAAAGAACTTAACAAACTCAACATCCTCCAAACCAAATAATTCAATTAAGAAATGGGCAGAAGACATGAACAGACATTCTTCCAAAGAAGACATGTAAATGGCCATAGACACATGAAAAGATGTTCAACATGACTCATCTCAGAGAAATGCAAATCAAAATTCCAACCTCACCCTGTCAAGATGGCTAAAATCATGGGCGCCTGGGTGGCTCAGAGAGTTAGGCTGCTGCCTTGGACTCAGGTCATGGTCTCAGGGTCTTGGGATCGAGCCATCCATGGAGCTCTCTGCTCAGCAGGGAGCCTGCTTCCCCCTGTCTCTCTGCCTGCCTCTCTGTCTATTTGTGATTTCTCTGTCAAATAAAATCTTAAAAAAAAAAAAAAAGGATGGCTAAAATCAGGAGTGCCTGGCTGGCTTAGTCAATCAAGCGTCTGCTTTCAGCTCAGGTCATGACCTCAGGATCCTGGGATAGAGCCCCACATCGGGCTCCCTGTTCAGCAGGAAGTCTGCTTCTCCATCTCCCACCCCGCCCCCCTGCTTATGCTCTCTGTCTCTCGAATAAATAAATAAAATATTTTTTAAAAAGATGGCTAAAATTAAAAAAATAGGTACTGGGAAGCATCAGAGAAAAGGAAACCCTCTTACACTGTTGGTGGGAATGTAAACTGGTATAGCCACTCTGGAAAATAGTACGGAGGTTCCTCAGAAAGTTAAAATTAGAAACACCATATAATTCAGCAATTTCACTACTGGGTATTTACCCCAAGAATATGAAAACACTAATTCAAACAGACATGCATCCACATGTTTACTGCACCATTATTTAAAATAAGCAAAAAAGGGACGCCTGGGTGGCTCAGTTGGTTGGACGACTGCCTTCGGCTCAGGTCATGATCCCGGAGTCCCGGGATCGAGTCCCGCGTCGGGCTCCCAGCTCCATGGGGAGTCTGCTTCTCCCTCTGACCTTCTCGCCCATGCTCTCTCTCACTGTCTCTCTCTCAAATAAATAAATAAAATCTTTTAAAAAAATAAATAAATAAATAAAATAAAATAAAATAAGCAAAATATGAAGCAGCCCGTATCCATCTATAAAATGAATAAAAAAGGGCATCTGGGTGGCTCAGTGGGTTAAAGCCTCTGCCTTCGGCTCAGGTCATGATCCCAGAGTCCTGGGATCGAGTCCCACATCGGGCTCTCTGCTCAGCAGGGAGCCAGCTTCCTCCTCTCTCTCTCTCTCTGCCTGCCTCTCTGCCTACTTGTGATCTCTGTCTGTCGAATAAATAAATAAAATCTTAAAAAAAAATAAATAAATAAAATGAATAAAAAAGATGTGTATATATAAAATGGAATAGCAGCCATAAAAAAGAATGAAATCTTGTCATTTGCAACAGCATGTATGGATCTACAGGTTCTGCTAGGTGAAATAAATTAGAGAAGACAAACAGCATTTGCCTTCACTCATATGTGGAATATAAGAAATAAAACAAATGAACAAGAAAAAGAGAACAAAAAAGAAAGAGATTCTTAATTCTAGAAAATAAACTAATAGTTACCAGAGGGGAGGTAGGTGGGTATTAATTAAGCTGAAGGGGAACAAGAGAACACTTATCATGATGAATTACTGAGTAATGTATAAGACTACAATGTATACCTGAAGCTAAGATAACACTGTATGTTAACTATACCAGAGTTAAAAATAAATTAATTAAAAAAAAATAAAAAATAAATAAAAGGAAAAAAAATCCCAGATTTTGGGGCACCTGGGTGGCTCAGTTCTTAAGTGTCCACTTTCGGCTCAGGTCTTGATCCCAGGGTCCTGGGATCGAGTTCTGCCTCAGGCTCTCTACTCAGTGGAGAGCCTGCTTCTCCCTCTCCCACTCCCCCTGCTTGCGCTCCCTCTCTTGCTGTCTCTCTCTGTCAAATAAATAAATAAAATCATTTAAATAAATAAATAAGTAAAAAATAAAATCACTAACTAAACTACCTATATACTTGCATAACCTGCTTTTCCACATTGAGTTAAAATATCTAATCAGAGACATATACTTTCAGATAATGCACTTGACATAGTATTATGACTAACCACTAATAACAGCTTATAGATGAAATGAAAATTCTTACCAATAAGTCCCCCTGGAGCAGCATACTGAAGATCATTGTGTTCTGCAAAAAGTGACACAATTTTGGAAAAGATTGGTTTACACATGAGTTTTCCTTCACTATCTTTGGAAACAATACCAGGTCTGACTTCTATCTCCTGGCCCACCTAAAAGAGAGTAATTAAATAGAGTAATTAAAATTTTTCAGACAACACAATTACCATTTATGTGTAAACAGTCCTAACTGATAGACTGCTAAACTGAAAAGGCATGTATTCCAACAATAATTTCAGTATTACTCCAGAAGGACAAAAAACTTAAAAATGCAGAAGTTAGAAAGCTAATAACCACTCAATTAACCACTTACATATAAGAAAGCTATGATTCACACCAGACATATTTAAAGTACAAAGTAGTAAAAAATACATATTTCTAACATTTTTAGATTTTAACCATATATTTTTTTCCATTTAAGAAACAAAAATTTACAATTTAGTTTACCTTTAATACTCCTTTTAATATGCTGCCACCAGCCACACCACCTTTAAGGTCATCAACCTCACAGCCAGGTTTGTTGACATCAAAAGACCTAATAACTGTGAAGATGATAAGGAATAAAGGAAAGAAACCATAAAGCTCATCCTGTTATTTTAATTAGAAGAAATACTCAAGTTAGTGTTTTGTACAGCAGTAGCTGCTTGAAATCTATATCTCAGAGCTGACTTGGTAGAAAAATATTATAGGAAAATATTATTATTCCAATCACCACTGCAGTTTTACGTATAATGGACAATGAAATTAACCTGATCAGTAAGTGATATATTTATGCTTTCCCTATGAAGTACAACATAACTATTATAAAGGAACATAACACTGTATCTGTATGATTCTGTGAAAGGATGACTTTTAAAGGCTTACTTATGGACAGCCCTCACCTTAATGATTCACACACTGAAGTCATAACTCCAGGAACTCAATACACCTCATAACGTTAGCATATTTGAAGAAAGGGCAAAACAACCATATGAAAAGGTAGGGTCAATAAAAACCAGCGGGTTAAGTTCTTACCAATAAGTCGGGGTTCTGAAGTAAAGTCTCTTAGAGGTACTGGAATTTTCTTTACAATATACTCACAAACAACTTCGATATTATATTTCAGCTGAGCAGAAATTGGAATAATAGGAGCTCCTTCTGCTACTGTACCTATTTGACAAACCCAAAATTTGACAGTTTTCTAGAAATTGTTGTGTACACTAGATAAAAAATTATGATCATTAAAATAGGTATCAAACACCCCTATACAAATGCCAGTAACAAGAATTAATCATTCTGTTTAAACTGATCTTAGCCAAAAGGCTGAAAAGTGATTGTGATCATTCTGTTTAGAAACATCCATAATATTTTGTTTTTCCCCCCTCTAAAATTCAGTATTATGCCCTGTAAGTGAAAAATTATTAAATTAAATTAGAATCTGAAAAGGATAAAATTACCTGCATAATTTGGCTACTATAGACAGAGTTTCTTAACAAGTAAAAAAGACAAAGAACCAAATATCAAAAAGATACATCATGTCTTGCTCCAAATAAAAACTAAGTTTTAGTGAAAGGGCCACTATGAAAATTAAAAAAATCACTGTTGGGTCTAATTCTAGAAATAGATACTCAATGAGAACAAAGTCAGAATAATTAGAACATAAACGAAGAAATAAAAAAGATAGTTTCACTCATTTTACTATCATTAGGAAGAGTTTTTATTTTATTTTTTTTTTTAAGATTTTATTTATTTATTTGACAGACAGAGATCGCAAGTAGGCAGAGAGGCAGGCAGAGAGAGGAGGAAGCAGGCTCCCTGCTGAACAGAGAGCCCGATGCGGGGCCCGATCCCAGGACCCTGGGATCATGACCCGAGCCGAAGGCAGAGGCTTTAACCCACTAAGCCACCCAGGCGCCCCAAGTTTTTATTTTTTTAATTATTAGTTTTTAAAAATTTATTTATTCAACAGGTAGAGAGAGAGAGTACAAGGAGGGGAAGCAGCAGAGGGAGAAGGTGATTCTCCCATGAGCAAGGAGTCTGATGAGGGGCTCATTCCAAGACTCCAAGATCACGATCTAAGCCAAAGGCAGATGCTTAACTGACTGAGCCACCCAGGCTCCCCGGAAAAAGATTTTTTAAAACATATGATTGGTGGTGGTGTTGGCAGTAGCATATGTGCTAAAATTTTATTGATATAGAGAAGATTAGTATGGCCCCATATGCAAAGATGAAACCCAAATTCACGAAGTGTTTCATATTTTTATTATTATAATAAAATATTATATTGCTAAAATTTTTTTAAAAAGATTTATTTGAGAGAGAGAATGAGTGAAAGAGAGCATAAGCAAGCAGAGAGAGAGAGAAGCATATTCCCCACTGAGGAGGGAGCCCAATGTGGGACTCGATCCGAGGACTCTGGGATCATGATGTGAGGAAGATTTGCTTAAATGACTCAGTCACCCAAGGTGCCCCCCCTCCAAAATTTTTTTAAAGTATTTACTTCTCAAAACAGCCCCTCCCCCAAGCCAATTGGTAACATTTATAGACTAGAACTTCTTTTCTGGCTGACATGCACTTTAATCAAATTCAGAAAAATTTCAGTGCTTCTATCAGATGGCTAAAAGCAATAAAAGTATTAAGTAATGGGCAGATAAAGAGGCTTATAACTCATCAATTCACTTCATTTTTGATAATTACATTAAGATTTCTGTGTTAATGGGATGCCTGGGTGGCTCAGTTGGTTAAGCGGCTGCCTTCGGCTCAGGTCATGATCCCAGCATCCTGGGATCAAGTCCCACATTGGGCTCCTTGCTTGGCAGGGAACCTGCTTCTCCCTCTGCCTCTGCCTGCCTCTCGGCCTTCTTGTGATCTCTCTCTCTCTCTGACAAATAAAAAAATAAAATCTTAAAAAAAAAAAAAAAAAGATTTCTGGGTTAAAGTAACTCACATGTTTATTTACTATTATAGCATCTTACCTTGCACAAATGCAAGTATCTGTTCATACTGTTCTTTAGCTTGACTCTCTTTTACCAAATCAATTTTATTTTGCAGAATCAAAATATGTTTCAGTTTCATTATTTCTATGGCAGCCAGATGTTCAGAAGTCTGAGGTTGAGGACAAGATTCATTACCAGCTAAATTGATGATAAAGAATAAAAAACAAACAAAATGAGTCATAAGAATTAGTTGGCATCCAATAAAGAAACTTCTGGATGTCTCATTCAAACCAAATTCCTTATACCATTGCCAAGTATCTCTGTGAGGCCCTGTTTACTTTGTTTATTTTTTATTATTTTTTAAAGACTTCATTTATTTGACAGAGAGAGATAGAGAAAGAGAGGGAACATAAGCAGGGGAGTGGGAAAGGGAGAACCAGGCTTCCAGCTAGGCAGGGAGCCCGATGTGGGGCTCCATCCCACCACCCTGGGACCATGATCTGAGCCGAAGGCAAAGTCCCAATGACTGAGCCACTCAGGTGACGCTGTGAGACCCTGTTTAAACTTCACAACTGATTTCCGTGGATTCTCTCCACCTTTTAAACCCTATCCTAAGCACAGTCCTTGGAATTTAACAAATTCGACTTCTTTCAAAGTCTTCATGGCTTTTACTCAGACGTAACATATATCCCTCTGCTTCTATCCAGTTGGGATATTCTGACCCAATCTGGAGAACAGTTAAGAAGGAAAGTAGCTTAATGCAGTCTACAAATTATAATTATCCAAGCCTATAGAAGACAATCACAAAGATGGCTCCCAGTAATCCCCAGGATCTCACAGTCACACCCTTGTAAAATTCTTCCCTTTAAATACTGGAAAGCCATCTAATAACAAAGAAAATTTCAGAAGTGATGCAATATCACTTCTTAAGTTAGATCACAAGGACTCTGGCTTCCAACTTGGGGAAAAAAAAACAGGTGAAATGTCATGAGGACAACTGGACAACTTATGCAAAGGCCCACTTGAGGAGAAAATGCGGTCTGAGTGAACTTAAAATCAGATTCTTTAGCCCCAGACGTCTTGATATAACTCCAGCTCCCGCTGAGAAATTACTATAAATTTTGAGTTCTTTAGCTAGAGACAACAAAACTCTGTTCACATAAATAATGATTAAATATCTGTTATTCTTAAGCTGCTAGGTTTTGAGGTACTTTGCCATATAGCAACAATTAGCAGATATGGCTATTAATAAGAAAAAGGAAAACTATCAACTACACATTATAAACCACAAAATTTTTAGTAACCCAATGATTATCTTCCCCAAGTTGTGATATTAAATGCCTTGTACCAAACTCCTTGAAAGGTATACTCCTGTGTAGGAAAGCATTTGGCTTTGTACAAATTGGTCTTTGTGTTGGACTATTTGAAAATAAAACCTATCATTCCTGGTAAGAGTGTCCTTATTTAGGTTTGGGGTGGACTACATCAGATCTTAGGGTAGGGTTCCAAAGTTGATAATTTTAGAGGCTGGCTATGCCAGAAAAAGCCCGATTTAGGTGGAGGTATTGGGAACACGAGGTCTCAGTATGTCTAGAGACTCAAACCAACCACAAGGGCAATTTGTTACTTAAGCTTAATGGCACCTCAGTAAAAATTTCCCACACAAAAACTCAGGCAATTTCCCTTGGTTTGTAATATTTCGTGATTAATGTTATCAATAGTGCTGAGAAAATAACCTCTGCTTCCAGAGAAAGGACAATGGAAATTTCATGGTTGAAACCCTTTTGGACTATGACCTACATGTCTCTCCCTTTGGCTCACCTTAATATGCATCCCTCTCCTATAATAAATTTTAAGTGTTTAGTGTAACAGCTTTCAATGAGATAGGAGTCTAATAAACTATCAACCTAAAGATGGTTCAGGAACTTTCTGACTTTCATTTGGTGTCAGAACTAAAGGCAATCTTGGATGGAAACACCTCTTTAACTTTATATTTGGCCTGAAACTCCATGTAGCCTCTAGTTACAAAACCTCTTGACAGTTCACCCAGGGAAGAAAGCAAAACCTTACTTTGAAAACCTCTATGCAGGCCCTATGTCAGCATTTCATGTAAGAGTCATATCTAAAAAACCACTATTCAATAACACCACAGACAACCCAGAGACATTAAAAAATACCCTCTTTCAACCTAGCATACTTTTATATGAAAAACTCTAAATAAAACAATAGTAAGAAGAAAGCACTGTTCACTTAGAAATGAGTTTTAGGGGGTGAAGGGCATACTACCATAAGAATTGTCACTAGATAATAGCCCAAGGTTCATCTTGCTTGATATTTTTTCATATCGGCACACATGGATGTTAATTTGGGTGACCTGCTAGTTCCCATTTATGGCCACTAAAGGCACTGGTTCCCCTTTAAATATTCCAAATGGGATTGATTCCAAAGGGATTTGTCAAACCAATTTTGATATTATTTACCTATCAGCAGAAGAGCTGCATCCATTACTGCTGCACCATTTAGCATAGTAGCCATCAAAATATCATGGCCCGGACAGTCAACAAAGGAAACATGTCTAATAATCAAGAAACAATCAGATTTAGGATTAATATTTGAACATTCAAGTCACTGCCTTCTAACAGTTAAATCACTTCAAAAATAATTATTCTTTTTTTTTTTTAAAGATTTTATTTATTTATTTGACAGGCAGAGATCACAAGTAGGCAGAGAGGCAGGCAGAGAGAGAGAGAGAGAGGAGGAAGCAGACTCCCTGCTGAGCAGAGAGCCTGATGCGGGGCTCGATCCCAGGACCCTGGGATCATGACCTGAGCCGAAGGCAGAGGCTTAACCCACTGAGCCACCCAGGCGCCCCCCAAAATAATTATTCTTGTTGCAAAGTGGCTTCAAAACCTGATGGTTCCAGAATTTTGAAATAAGATTGCCAGCTGAAATTAAAATGATGAAATGTCATTACAAAGCAGGTAAAACTAGTTACAGATAGACCTTACCCCAAAACAAGGCTCAAATAAACTCAGGAAAACACCCAAAGATAAATATGAAAGTGAGGAAAATATAGACTTTATATATATATAATATATACTGGAAATATGATACGAAAGCCAAACTTAATGACATATAAGTGATGTATTTATTTGCCCTCCATATATGCTCTTCATGTCTTTTTCATTTTCTAGATGCATCATTTGTTTTTTATTTTATTTTATTTTTTAAAATTAACATATAGTGTATTATTTGCCCCAGGGGTACAGGTCTGTGAATCATCAGGCTCACACATTTCACAGCACTCACCATAGCACATACCCTCCCCAATGTCCATGACCCAGACACCCCATTCCTCTCCCCCTGCCCTCCAGCAACCCTCGGTTTCCTGAGATTAAGAGTCTCTTATGGTTTGTCTCCCTCCCAATCACATCTTGTTTCATTTTGTCCTTCCCTACCTGCGATGACCCCCGCCTTGCCTCTCAAATGATCTCTCTGATATGAGGAATTTGAGAGGCATCGTTTGTTTTTAACTGTTGAGTTTCTGAAAGTTCTTTATGCCCTCTAGTCTCTTATTAGACATATGATTTGCAAACAGTTGATCCTTAAGAAATGCAGGATTGGGGGTGCCTGGGTGGGGTGCCTGGGTGGCTTGGTGGGTTAAAGCCTCTGCCTTCGGCTCAGGTCATGATCCCAGGGTCCTGGGATGGAACTCTGCTCAGCGGGGAACATGCTTCCTCCTCTCTCTGCCTGCCTCTCTGCCTACTTGTGGTCTCTGCCTGTCAAATAAATAAATAAAATATTAAAAAAAAAAGAAAGAAAGAAAGAAAGAAATGCAGGATTGGTGTGCCAATTCTCCCACATAGCTGAAAATCTGTGTACAAATTCACTCTCCCAAAATTTAACTAATAGCCTACTGTTGACTATAAGCTTTACCAGTAACATGAACAGTCAATTAACACAGAGTTTGTACACATCTTATATTCTGTATTTCTACTGTGTTATTAGGAAAATTAAAAGGAAAACACAGGGGGCGCCTGGGTGGCTCAGTGGGTTAAGCCGCTGCCTTCAGCTCGGGTCGTGGTCTCAGGGTCCTGGGATCGAGCCCCGCATTGGGCTCTCTGCTCAGCAGGGAGCCTGCTTCCTCCTCTCTCTCTGCCTGCCTCTCTGCCTACTTGTGATCTCTCTCTGTCAAATAAATAAATAAAAATCTTTAAAAAAAAAAAAAGGAAAACACAGTATTGTACTTATTGAAAAAAACAGTGTGCAAACAGACTGGCAATTTATATTCATGCTGTTCAAGAACTAATGTATTATCTACAAGTCAGTAGCTTTTCTTTTGATCCTCTTAACAGATCTTTTGCAGAGCAATTATTTTTAAGTTTGATGACCTGAAATACTCCAACCTTTCTTTTTTATGAATTACACATTAGCATATCTAAAAACACCCCTAGTCCTAGGTCTTAAACAATTTTGACTATGTTTCCTTTTAAGAATTTATCTGATCCATTTAAGACTCAAGTGTATGTAAATTTTGAGCATGTACTGAAAATGTGAATATACACAAATGTTGAATATAAAGTATACATTTTTGTGGTTTAATTTAATTTTTTAAAAGTAATCTATGCCCAACGTGGGGATCAAACTTATGACCATGAAATCATGAGTTAAATACTCCACTAACTGAGTCGGCCAGGCACTCTGAAGTGTACAACTTGAATAAAAGGTGTCTGGTTTAAGAATAGACTCATTTTTTTTTTTTTTTTTGACTACAGACATTGAACTGCTCTAGTACTATTTATTGAAAAGTCCATAATCCACTGAATCTTTCTATCTTTGTAAAATAAAAAATCACTTAGAGTATTTGCATGAATCTATTTCTCGGATCTCTAACTGTATTCCACTTATTTAGCTCTCCCTTCACCAGCAATAGATAAATTTGAGCAAAAAATAGCATCTTCACTCTGTTAAGTATTATAATCTATGACATGGTATATTCATTTACACCTTATTTCTTTCAGAGCTATGCAATTTTCACTTAAGTGCCCTTGGTGTTTTACAATTAATTTTACATTTAAGTATTTCATCTTTCTAAGGGACTGAGAGTATTTTAAATTTCACATATGCATTCATTGCTAGTAAAGAAAAATTAAAAAAAAATTTTTTAAAGACCTTATTTATTTGACACAGAGAGATAACAAGTAGGCAGAGAAGCAGGCAGAGAGAGAGGGGGAAACAGGCTCCCTACTGAGCAGAGACCTAACGTGGGGCTCAATCCCAGGACCCCGAGATCATGACCTGAGCCGAAGGCAGAGGCCTTAACCCACTAAGCCACCCAGGCGCCCCAAGAAATAAAAGTTTTGTTAAGTTAATCTTATATCCTGCCACCTTGGTTAAGTTTTTTTTAGATACCCTGGGAAATTCTATGCAGATAAATGGTGTCAACTGCCAATGAGGAAAGTTTTTTTCTTTCCAATGTCTATGTCTTTTATTACATTTTCTTGCCTTATATCACAACTTCTAGTATCATGCATAATAAAAATGGTGAGAGACGGTATCTTTGCATTCATTATTACTGAACTTAATGTGAAACATTCAGTCTTATCCCATTTTTCACATGAGGTTTGTTGTAGCAGTTCTTTATCAAGATGAAGAAATTTGCATTCCTAGTTATCAAGGTGAATTTTTTCCTCATCAATTTATATGAACATAGAATTTTTCTTCTTAGTCTACTGATAAGGAGAATATCACTGAATACTTTGCAAATACTAAATTGGCCTGGCTATCCCCTAAAATGAACACCTATTTTGTCATGCTACTTAAGTCTTCTACATATTTCTCAATTTTATGTGCTAAATGTAAGTAACGGTTGTGCCTATATACATTTAGAATACTAGACTTGCAGTTTTTTCTTTTTCTTCTCTCTTTTTATACTCTCTTTGATTTGGCATTGGGGTGGTACTGCATTTACAAACAGTTGCTTGTCCTACCCTATCCTCTTCTAGTGTACAGAATTCACTTTACTTATTTAATGTACAGTAGAATTCTGCACCAAAACCACCTAGAACTAAAGACCTCTTGTTTTTTTAAACTTTTCTTTCAAGGTTTTATTTGTCAGAGGGAGAGAGCATGAGCAGGGGGTACAGCAGGCAGAAGGAGAAGCAGGCTCCCCAGTAAGCAAGAAGCCCAATGTGGGACTGGATCCAGGACCCTAAGATCATGACTTGAGCTGAAGGCAGATGCTTAATCAACTGAGCCACCCAGGTGTCCCCTTTCTCAAGTTTTTCAAATGTAAGTTCAACTTACTTATTATCTATGGGACATTCTATCTAAGTAATTCAAACCAGGTGACTTATAACAGTCTGCAATGCTCAAGACATCCATGATCTTATCTCTGTTCTCTTATTTATGTAAAGGTGCATGTAATAGTCTCTATTTTGATATTGCCAGGGTTTTGACTTATACCTACAGGATCATTCTTGAAATCAGTAACTTGTGCCTTTAGTCTTCTTCTTTTCTCAGTCTTGCTAAAGCTTTGCTAATTTCTAGATCTGTTTAAAAAATCACTTTTTATTTCATTGATTCTCTCCACCGTATTTCTGTTTTTAATTTCATTGTTTCCTCTCTGCCTGCTTTGAATTAATTTCACTCTCCTTTTTCTTGTATCTTAAGCTGTGAGGTTAATTATAAATCTGAGATTTCACTCTGTTCTAATGTAAGCTTTTGGTGCTATCAATCTCTCTCCCAAAGCACTGCTTAGGAAAATACCACAAATTTTGTTATCTTTCATTGTCATTTAGTTCAACCGTAGCCATTAGGGAAATGCAAGTTCACTATAACCTATTATAACAGCTAAAATAAGAAATAGCCTTAGGCATCAAAACAATGAAATCTTGCTTTTGCAATGATGTGGATGGAGCAAGAGACTATTATGCTAAGCTAGATAAGTCAGTCAGAGAAAGACAAATATATGATTTCACTCATGTGGAACTTAAGAAACAAAACAGAATGGGGGCGCCTGGGTAGCTCAGTGGGTTAAAGCCTCTGCCTTCCACTTAGGTCATGATCCCAGGGTCCTGGGTTCGAGCCCCACATCGGGCTCTCTGCTCAGTGGCAAGCCTGCTTCCTCCTCTATCCCTCTTTGCCTGCCTCTCTGCCTACTTGTGATCTCTGTCAAATGGAATCTTAAAAAAAAAAACAAAAACAACAGAATGTACAAGAAGAGAAGGAAAAGTAAAGTAAGATAAAAACAGAGAGGGAAGGGCCTGGGTGGCTCAGTCATTAAGCATCTGATTTCGGCACAGGTTATGATCCCAGGGTCTTGGATTGAGTCCCAAATGGATGATGCTCAGCAAGGAATCTGCTTCTCCCTCTCCTTCTGCCCCCTTTTCTGTTCTGTGCCCCTTGCCCCCTCCTGCTGTCTCTCTCTCTCTCTAATAAATAAATAAAATCTTAAGAAAAACCCCAAAAAACAGAGAGGGAAAAAAAATCACAAGAGACTCAGAACAATAGAGAATAAACAGCGCTGCTGTAGGGGAGGTGGGTGAGGAGATGGGGTAATTGTGTGATGCATTA